GGACGAGCCGTTTACATTGTCGGATTCAGAATAGATTCTAGTTTCTGAAATTAACAATTGCAAACAGTTATAATTTTTTCTAATAAGAAATAAAAATTCTAGCGTATGCAGACACTAACAAAGGAACTCATTCTCTAACCTATCCCAGCGGTGATTGGTCGGATTTGCCACCGTGATACCTTAATCAGGTAGTCAGCTCAGGTACTACAGTACAGACATGTACCCGAGGTAGTTTTAGGTTGTTTAGTATTATGTTTATATTTTTATATGAGGTAGGGTTAGGGTACACTTCTGTAGTACAAGTCTGGTACATTTTGTGTATACATATATATGTACCTCGGGTACATATCTGTAGTACCTGATACGACAATGACCCCTTGAGCCTCAGTCAGTGTGAAGCGATTGTGACGCCTCACGGACCCGGTCACAGGCACTTGAAGCGTTTCAATAAAATATAATGCTAAATAAATACGAAATCTATTTATTACCAAATTCTTAATGTTTCTATACTCTCTTTCACCTATTATTGCCGACAGTTTCCTGTAAATTCCACTGGCAGCAAGAACAAGCCTGCACGTACAGCACACACGCGGCCATTGACTATAATGACACCATGGTGCCCAACTCACCGCCGCAGTTTCCACAACTCACTGTTTTCAATCAGTTACAACTCCGGTGTTCCTGCAGGTGATGCCACTTTCCAACTATCGTTGGAATCGCGGAAGACTGCTGAACAAGCTACACCCGCCATTTTTGACAATCTGCCGGCCAGAATGCGCTCAAATCACAGAAACTCTTTAAATATACATGCGAAATGATACTTCGGATGCTACCAGGCAAACGGGCGCCATGCCCAATTGCTGGCGGCTGTGCTGATTGGCTGCAGCAAGTTTAACGTGCAGACATCGCGGGTGTTGACATCGCGGGTGAGTCATGGCCAATCAGCGCAGCCGCCAGCGATTGGGCATGCCGCCCGTTTGCCTGGTAGCATCCGAAGTATCATTTTGCATGTATATTTGAGGAATTTCTGTGATTTGAGCGCATTCTGGCGGGCTGATTGTCAAAAATGGCGGGTGTAGCTTGTTCAGCAGTCTTCCGCGATTCCAACGATAGTTGGAAAGTGGTATCACCTGCAGGAACACCGGAGTTGTAACTGATTGAAAACGGTGAGTTGTGGAAACTGCAGTGGCGAGATGGGCACCATGTTGTTATTATAGTCAATGGCCGCGTGTGTGCTGTACGTGCGGGCTTGTTCTTGCTGCCAGTGGTAAATTCCGTCGAAATCCTACGTGCAACATACGCTGCCGGCAGCCATTGCTCTCGCGGCTGCACTGTGCACGCTTAATATATATTATTTATTAATTATATATATAAGTGTAAGCGTGCACAGTGCTCGCTAT